TTTTATATATAATATATATATATATATATATATATATATAAAGATTTATTTATTTAATTTATAATAGATTTTAATTATTTTCTAAAAAATACTCAAGCAATAGGAGGTTAATTACTTTAATAAATATGCTAATAAATAGAATAATGATCATTAATATTTTCAATTAAATTAATCAATCCTTTTAAATAAAAGATACTAAATCCAAACTATATTCTAAAAAAAAATTTTTTATAAAATTAAAAGAAAAATTACTCTTTATATTTAGAATCAACTTAAATTTTTTTAATTCTCATTTCCTTTAAATTGTTTTTAGAAATTTAAAACTTATCAATTCTAAGTTCCCTATATTAATATCCGCAAAAGAAATTCCAAAGACTAGATTCATTTCCTTTATAAACAACATCTACATCTATATGATTTTCCATAAAATTATTAAAAACATAATAAATGCACCCTGAAATTTCCTATTTATTGTTTTCATTAACGTCTATATATTAGCCTAAATGTTTATACACAATCGGATCGATTCCTTTCAAAGTTTTTTTAGCTACCAAAACAGGAAAAGAGTATTCGCCGAACATTTTAAAATCTATAAGTATACTTTTTTAATAATCAATATCCTATAACTTAAACACATCAATATTTTCATATAAACTTTAACTCAAATTCTTTCCATGTATCGAAGCTGATATTTTGCCTGTAATGGCAAAAGGATTTCTTTCTAAAGGCTTTTCTAATTCTCTATTTGCTAGACCATAAAAGCAATTACTTATGATTTAAAAATGTGTTTTTGGTGTATTTATAGCTAAAGTTTATTTATCCTATATTAATTTTTAAATTTTATGATATGCTCGGTAACAGTTTTCCATTTTATTAATATATTAGAGTATATTTATTAATTTTATATCCAAATTTTTCTTTGTTTCTTATAAAATTAGTTTTTTTATTTTATTTGGAATAAGTAATTTATTATTCTTATATATTTATAAATAAATATAAATTTATATATAAATATATATATATATATATATATATATATATATTATAATAATATATTATTTATTATTTATATATATATTTTTTATAAATATTTTATTATTTAAAATTACATTTTTTTCTGTATATAAAATATCGAATTAATAGTCAAATTATTTCTTGAAGTTTTTAAGCACTTCTAAATTTTAAGAATATTTTTTCTTTTAAAATTTTTTTAATAACATTTAATAAGTTTCCTCAAAAGACTATTTATCACTAAAGAGTAAATCATAATCACTCTTTTCCTATAATAAAAATATTAATTTTATCATATAAGCTTCTAAACATTAAGGATTATATGATTATATTTTTTCCAAAGCATCTTAATCAGAATTTTTAAGAAAAAATGTCTGTAAAAATACTCCACAATCTTAACATTTTTTCATCTTTTGTTCTTAAAATTTTATTAATTATTAACTGTATAATTTTAATACACATTTATGATTTTAAAATCCTTTTAAATTATTAAAGTCGTCTTTTCTTAACTCAAGTTATTATATTACCTTTTTAATATTTTAAAATTTTTAAAAAAATATATTTATTTTTTATAAAATTTAACATCATCCATTATATCTTCATCCTATTTTTATTTTAAAATAGGAGGATACTTAAGAACATATTTAGCAACTTTTTCTATTGTAGATGCTTAAACAATGATTTAATCTCCTTTTTATTAAATAGAATGAGTATAAATATCTTCTATAAATGTATAAGCATTAGAAATTTTAATTTTTTTATCATTTTATCCAACAAAACGAGATAGAATTAATAATTTATTTTAAATTTAAAATTCAGATTTTATAAATGAGCTCAAAGTTTATTTATGTGGTTCATTTTCTCTTTCTAAATTTATATTATTAAAAAATTGATAAAGTAGTATTTATACCTATTTCTTCATTTCTAATATATTATTACAAAAACGTTAAAGTTGATTTGTAATTTCTTGTATGAAATCTAAATAAATAAAATATGATTAAAAAAATATTTTAATATATTGAAATTATAATTATATAATGAACTAAAAATATAAATATGTAATAATATAAAAATAATATAAAATAAATATATATATATATAAAATAAAATATTAAATATATATAAATTTTCATTATATTATTTTATATATTTTTTATTTTTTTTTATTTATTTTATCTATTTTTACAAATATTTTTATATATAAATTTATATTTGCATTATTTTATATTTTTAATTTTTTTTATATATAAATTACCCTCCTTCATTTTTAATAAAGTTTTCTAATTTTTCGTAAAAACTTATAAAAAATAAATCTATATAAAAAAAATAATCAAATTATACAATTTTAATTACCTAGAATTATAAAATTAATTTTTTCTTTGAATTCTTCTCCTATTTTTTAAAATATAATTTCTTTTAAGTAAATAACCAATTCTCTAATTTTATCTTAAATAAAGCACTATTTCTAATTTTCATTATAATTTATATTTACAAAAACATGTTTATTAATAAAATTCTCAACAAAATCTTTTAAAAATGTTACATTTTTATTTAATTATTGCCTTAGTTAATCTTCGTTTTATAACTAAGATTCTAATTCAGTTTTTTCTACTGTAAAAAAATATTCTAAAAGATAATTTTAATTCTAAACATCTTTTATATATTTATCAATCGTTTATTTAAATCCTTTAACAAGTTTTCTATTAACGAGTATATTTTAAGAAAAACACTCAAAAAAATGCACAAACAACTTGATAAAAGTATAAATAATTGATTATTCTTTATCTTAACTTAAATTTGCAATTGTGTATATTCTACCATGATTATTTTTTAAATCAATAGTTAATATTTTTTTGCAAACTTCTACATAAAGCCTTTGTTTTCTATCATCATTTTCTAAATCACCAAAAGTTTCTTTTACTAAAATAATAAAATCATTTTAATCCATTTTATTATTTTCATATATTTTTATTAAATAACAAGGATGTAATTATAAAGATGTAAAAAGCAATCTATAACAAGGTTTATTAAAAAGATCTTTAATATCATCAAATTAATTACCAACAGAAAAATAATATGTTCCTAAATTATTATTATTATTATTATTATTATTATTATTATTATTATTATTATTATTATTATTGTTATTAGTTTATTTATTTAATGTCTATTTAAATTTTTATATAGTTTTATATTTTATATCAAACGGTTCTGTTGCAATTCTTTTAAATATTTCTGAAGCTGCATTATTTTTAAATCTTTTCTAAATATCAATTAATAATTTATAGTTTTCATATTATTTCTATATTTAGCCTTATATTTATGAAACTTTATCATGCAAAGTCTAAACAATTTCATCATTAAAAAGATTTACTTATCCTTTTATAGCTGTATATAAATCTGGTTTTTCTTTCATCATTACTACCTCATATAGTGATTTTTTGAATGGATTTTAGAAAAAAAGTTACATAATTCCTATTCCTGGAGTAATTTCTCCTTATGATAATTTTAAATTATTTTATTATTAATTTTAATTTTATTATGTATTTTAGTTTTATAATTAATTTTTTATTTCATCACTATTTATATAGCTTATATTAATAGATTCATTGAGTTTTTATTTTTCATCTTAATTTTTACTTACTTATTTTCTATTTAAATCTAATTATTTAAAATTACTCTCCTTATTAATCTATGATCTTATTTTAGATTATTAATTCATTAATATAAGTGTTGAATTTCTTTAAGTAGATTGCTTTTAATTAATTTTTTATTTGTTCATATTTTCTTTTTTATTGATCATTTAATATTCATCATCTAAATAAACACCTGATTTTCTTCCATTTTTAACTTATTTTTATACATTGTTTTTTTTTTATGTTTTTTTTTTGCTATTATTCATAATATCATCATCATCTTCATTATCTTACTATTATAAATTATTATTATTTTCATCTTATTATATTAATTAATTATAAATTTCCCAATCTATTGAGTCAGCAATTTTTTCTGGTTAACTTTTCAAATATTAATCAAGCTAATCACTCAAAAACTTATTTAAATAATGGCAAAAATGAGGCTTTGGAATTAATTATTCTAGAATATTTTTTTTACTTTAATTTTTATTGTCATCATTATTATCCTCGTCTTTATTCTCGTTTTAAATTTCCTATTTTTCTTATTAAATCCTGTCATAAAACTCATAACCTTAACAAAGTCTTCCAGTATTCAAATCATAACCCCATGTATATAATTGATTTTTAGAAATCAAAGCTGCATGGTTTTTCGAAACCGCCACTTTAGTAATTTAAACCAAATTCGTCTCTAATCTTCCATACAAAGTAAGAGTCTTATCCATTACCATATCATATGATAAATTACTATTTTTATTACATTCCTCTTCAAAATACTTATCAAAAACTCCCCAATACATAATAGTCTTATTAGTAGTCACAACAATCGAATATTTATCTCCTAAACACACGTTTTCTACCAATAAGCCCGAAGCTTTTAACTTCGGATGAATAGTAGGTTTAATAAACTCATAATTTTCCTAAGAATTTTTCTTATTATTAACGTCTTTTTTTTCCGGTCTTTACTATCCAAAATACCTAAAAGGTCCCCAAATAATTAAATTATGTTCATCATCAATAGCCGCACTATGATGATATCCTGCACTAATATCAATGAAATTAAAATTAGTTTATAATCTACATGGCGTATCTAAATTATCTTTATCTCCATGTCCTAGTTTGCTTTCCCATCCATTCCCCCATGTGTATATAACTTTTGTTTCTTTAGCTTCTAAATATTCATATTCGTCTTAATTTTATTCTACTTCCTTATTAATTGCTAAAGCCATCGAATGAGTACTTCCACAGGCTATTTTTACCACTTTTGCCTTTATATTAATCTCCTAAGGGGTCATAAGTATTGTATTTCTGATACCTAAACCCAGTTTTCCATCTTTAGAAGACCCGCAAGCAAAAATACGTCCACTTTCAGTTAAAAAAAGGGAATGTTCTTCCCCACAAGCTATACTTTTCATTAAATTACCATCCAAACCTTAAACTTTACTCGGTTAGTCTACGAAGTTACTAATCCCGCCAATTCCTAATTATCCCTCTTTATTCCTACCCCAAGCATATATAATTCTTTTCTGTTCAATAGCCATACAATAATCAGCTCCAGCAGCTATATATGTGATAATCCTATTATTTTAAATATCGAAATATTTAACTAAAGTCGGAAAAGATTCTCTTGGTAATTCTTCCGCAAAAATATTAATTTTTGCCTTATCTAGGTCCTAATATTGTTCATTAGCCTCCTAACTACTACACCCATGTTGCCCCATTAAATTGTTTCCCCATATATATATTTCACCTGCATTAGTTAAAGCTATAGAATGAAAAACTCCTAATTAAACGTCTACAATTTCATTTGAAATAAAATCTTTTTCACTAGCCTTATATAATTTAGTATCTTATATAGGAAAAAAAATTTCAGAATATTTTTCGCCATATTAATATTTTACTACTATTTTATTTGGAATTTACATATTAAAAGGGTTATTTTCTTCTATTTTTAATAAATAATTTTATACATAACCTTTAATTTCCCTCCCTAAGCTTTAATAAGCATTTAATCCCCATGAGATCACTCTCCCTTAATTACTTAAAGCCAGTGTATGGTGATTACTACATGCAATTTAATATAAATAACTTTCTTTAATATGTCTATATTAAACACCTTTTATAAACTCGCTGTTTAACATCATTGGATAAGGTATATTGGAGCTCTTTATATTTTATTAATCTACTTCTAAACCTAATTTATTGTTTTAATTACTTCCAAAAGCGAATATTTTCCCAACTTAAGTTATAACAAAAGTATTATTAATTCCACATTATGCATATACAATGAATTAATTTACCAAAGAGTTTATTTTCAGAGGACTTAATTGATTCTAAAAATTATTTAAACCTAATTATCCATTACTATTACATCCCCAAGAATATGTGTAGCCTTCATTAGTGAAACATACATTATGGTATCCTCCACACACAGTTGCAAGAATATTTTTACCTTCCAAATCCCCTCTTACGAGATCTGGTTGGTTAAAATTAGCCAGATTTCCTTTCCCTAATTGCCCGAAATTACCCAAACCCCAAGTAAAAACTTGACCGGTTTTACTAGTGGCTGCCGAATGGTATTATCCACATGATATATGCTATATTTTAATATTATCATTATCTAAAAAACGAACTAATTATGGAAGATGAGATGACTCCAAATGACCTAAACCAAGATTTCCATAAGAGTTGTCACCCCATGAAAAAACAAGAAAATCTTAAGTAAGAGCAAGGCAAAAATTGGTACCACATGAAATTTATATAATTCCAATATTTTATTCTAATTCGCTATTAAAATTAATAATATCACTAATTTATAAGTTAAATTATTTTGATCTCTAATATTATATTAATAAATAATATTTATATATATATATATATATATATTACTTATTCTATAATATTTTAACTTAATTATCTTTCAAGAGCATCCTCGTCATCTCTATTAAGACTATTAATACTTTTCATATATTCATCATTATCATAGTCTTATAAATGTTAATTACTTATTAAATCCTATGGGGAGTTAAGATCATTATTATCATCATAATTACTTTCTATATTCTCATTTGATAAATTTACTAATAATTCTTATTATTAAATTTGAGTATTTTCTATTTTTACAATTTACGTTTTTAAATTTCCTTAATTATTTTATTCCGTTTTTTTATTTATTTCTTATTATTGATTAAAGATCTTTCCGGCTTAAAAAACTTTTAAATAACCCAATACATTTTATTTTACATTATTTACTGATGTATATTAGTTAGAATTCAAAAATTTTTATAAGCTTTAACCTTTACTAAATAATTAAAATGAATTAACTGCTATTATTAAAGAAAAATTATATCCACAACAAACTGATATTGGAAAATATTCAACATTTTAATAGTGTAAAAGAATAGGTTAAGGTTCTGCCTTTTTTTATTTTTAATTAATATATATTAATTTTTATTACAAACTAGACTATTTCCGCTTTTGTATTTATTTATTAACCTAGTTATTTATTTATATTATTTCCCCAACCTACTAATATTGGAATTTATTATTCATCTTTTATTGTTAGTTGAGCTGAATTTAAATCATTTATTTTTTCTATTACTATATTTTTTATTATAATGTAATATATATATATATATATATATATATATATAAAAATATATTTTTCTTTATTCATTTTTAAAAATATAATCATAATAAAAAAATTTCATATTCCAATTATTTCATTTGCCTTTTTTTATATGATCATATTTTTAAAAATAAATTAAAGAAAAAAAATTAATTTTTAAAAATAATATTATGTATATAATTTTTTTTTTAATAAACAATTATTTTAATATGATATTGCTAAATTATGTGTTATGCTGCATGCAATTCTTTAATTTACTACATCTGATTATATACCAAATGAACCTTCAAAACAACTTTAAATGTATTTAAATGATTATGATATTCTAACATAATATTCGTTTATATATTAGCTTTAAGATTTATTTTACATATTTTAATTTTTTAAAGTTTATTATTTTTTTTTTTGATAATATTTAAAAAATAAAAAGAAATAAAAATTATTTATATAATTAATTAAGATTCATGCTTTTTTATAAAATAAAATATTTATTCTTATTTATCAATATCAGAAAATATATTTTATTGAAGATTTTTATAAGGGCAAATTATATTTTAAAAATTTTAAATTTCTTTTATTTTTAAGCTTAAAAATTTGCTTGCTTTTGGGAATACTATTTTTTGGGAAAGAATTTCTTAAAGTGGTAGAAATTATACTATAATATATCCCTGCAATAATTGGAATATGAAAAATGTATTATGTATTTTTATTTTTATATTTATTGTTATTCAAAGTTACGTAAAATATATTACATTAAATGAATAAATAATCTATTTTATATTTTTAATTATTTTATACTTTATATTCGTTATTCACATAATAATATATATATATTTATAACTTCATTATTATATTAGTATTTTAAGTATTTTTTATAAAAAAAATTAATTAACAAAAAAATAAATAAAATATATAAGAATATATTATGATATATTTATATATTTTTTTAAATATTATAAAATTAAAAAATAATTTTATAAAAAGTAATATTTATATCAAATTAATAAATTTTTATTTAATTATATATAAAGAAAAATATCTTTTTTTCAATCAATTATTTAATTAAAATTATTTTTCCAAATTCTTAAATTATTAAAATTTTCAAGAGCAATTAATAAATTTCCTTTTTCTAATAAAATAACTTATTAAATATGAGCTTCTTACCCACCAATAGTACCCAAAAGTTCTTTAAAAAAGGAATTAAAAACATAAAGCTTTAAACCCGAACAAGCCTATGTCGAAAAAATAAAGATCTTTTAAATTTCAAAATTATTATTAGAAACTGAATTAATATTCTTTTTTAAATGATTAACTTTTATTTCACATTAAATAGCTGACCCAGAAATAATCTAAACAACATCTTTTCCTTCAATTTTTTAATATTAATTTATGGATGAATACTTAATTCTTTAACTATCAGTTTAAATAACTTTATTTAAAATAACATCTATTCCCCAAAAATGTCCTTCTTAACTAGAAATCATAACTAATTCTTTATTTATCATTAAACTACAAATTTTATCATTTTAATCTTATGGTAGTCCTATTTTCTCTTTTTTTTCCGCTATATAATTTACCAAATTAACCCTCCATTTATATAAAAAATAATCTGTATGAGCCCACAGACATTCATGTTAAGGATGATACATGATTTTATGTATACAAAGATTATTAATATCAATTTGGAGTAATAATTAATTCTCTCCCATTCCCATTTTATCCCTATGAAACATTACTTTATTTACATAAATACTCTTTTCGTCTAAATTTAGAGAAAATACTATTACTGAATCAGTTATTAATTATAAAGAATTTGGAACATTATTTTTTTTCTTAAATTTTCCGTCTAAGCATGTCTATAAACACTAAATTTCTCCAATCCCATGTATATTTTAGATTTAATCTAATTCTAAAAGCTTATTTTTACTCTAAGAGTATTTATATAAAATCAAAATAGATTCATTACGATCATTATTTCCGCCCAAAAAATACAAAAAATCATCATCAAATAATTTTTAAAAACATTTAATATTTTTCTTATATTAAATCTCACTAATTTTTTCTAAAATAAATTCTTTTTTATTTCCCAAATATTTACATCACCTTATATAGATATACTCATAAAATGGTATTAAACTTAAACATCTTCAATATATAAAATTAAATTATTATCCTAAAATATATTACTTATATATACATTACTATCATTTTGTTTATATATTATATTTTTTTTTATATTATCATCCTATATTTTATATTAATTATCTTCATCATCATCTTCCATTAATTAATTTTTTATTTGAACACTTTTTTTATATTATTTTTTTTCACTATTATTATTTTAAATTTTAAAATTTTTTAAAGAAGTATTCATTGGAAGAGATGGTGGTGAGAAATTTAAATATTACTTATTTTAAGAATTTTATAGTTCTATATTTTTTAGATCTATAATTTCCTTTTCTTTAATATAATTTACTTTTTTTAACAATTCTCTTTGCTTTTCTTATGAAAATTTAATTTTAGATTCTTCATCAATACTCATCTTTACTTTTTATTATAATATTTTTTCTTAAATTATTGCACTTTTACTTCTTTCGTTTATATTTGGATTTTATATAATTAAATTATTTTTTTGTTTTCTAAAAAATCATCCTCTTTACTCAAAATAAATCCGAAATTTTTTTCGAATTCTTTTTAGAAAAAGCTGACTATGTTATTTTTGAAATTTTTAATTCTCCTCTCTATATCTTTATTCATATCTTTAAAAATCCTTTTAGAGATCTTCATTTCTAAATATCCTTTATGAAATTTCTATATATTTTTAGATAATTAATTATATCTATTAGTAGTATCTTTTAGATCTTTTAAAACAATCTCTATTGCTTAATTTTTTATATATTTTTCTTCCAAAATTTTAACTGATGTTGCTTTATTTAATTAAATTTATAAAGCTTCATTCATTTTTTTTTCGAAATTTATTATTTAATGTTAATATTCATTAATAAATAATTACAATTCATTTTAAGTTCCTTTCATTTCATTTTATTGAAATTATTATTTTTTTTTATTTGCTAATTCACTAAAATAATTACATTTTTATTATTTATCTCGCCCATCTATTGCCTTTATTAATGATGCATCTATTTTTTATATTTATTCTAGTTCTGATAGTAAAGTATGATCTTCTGTTTTAACTGTAAGAAATGTCTTGTAGTTATTTATTAATTAACCTAAAGGCATTTGTTGGTTATTATGAACTATTTTATGTTTTTGGTAGCATTAGTCGCATAATAATTTTTAAAAACATGTGTTTGATAAACATACATATGTGACAAAATTATTATGTTCAGGACAATAGATATCTAATTTTTAATAATCCATTTATTTTTATTATTTATTTAAATATAAACAAAAAATATTTATTATAAATATTTATTGGTATGGTTTTAATATAATTTTTAAAAATATTTTAATAAGTATAAATAATTTTTTCTTTTTATTCAGATATTTTATATAAATAGTAAATTTATTATATTATATAATTATTTAAAATATTTATAAAAATAATGAATAATATTTTTTTGTATTAAATATTATTTATTAAAAAAATTAAAATAAAGTAAATTTAAATATATATATATTTTTAAATAAAAAGTAAATTAATATATATAAATAATGTATTTATAATTATAAAAATATAAAATTAAAATTTATATAGTATCTATCAATCATTTAAATATATAGTTTTTAAATTAATAAAAAAATAATGGAATTTGATTTTATATTTTATGTTTTTACATAAAAAATATATAAAAAATTGAAATGTATTTTTTTAAATATTAAATAAATAAATTAAAATAAAATATAATAATAAAGAATTATTATTAATTATAGAAATATATAAAAAAAATATAATATTAAATTTAAAAATATGATTTTTTTAAATAAAAAATTAAAAAATATATATGTATATATATATATATAAAAATTTAATATATATATATATATATATATATATATTTCATAATCTTACATTTTTTAATTTTATAACTTTTTTTTAAAAAAAATATATTAAAATAGTTATTTTAATTATTTAAAAATAATATCATTTTATTTATATATTTATACTATTTTTTCTTTATTATAAATATATTTTTCTTAATGTAAATTATTATACATATTATATTTATAACATTAATAATTTTTTCTTTCTTTTTTAACGTAAATTTATAATTTTAATTATACTTTTTTTTTTATATCTTAACTTAAATCATATTTTTGTTCATGTAATTAAATTTATTAATTCTAAAA